GGACTCTCCACAGACCCAAAGGAAAGCTGATTCATCGTCTCAGTTTGAATCTTCTTCGCCTGTTTTCCACTCTCATTTGGAGGACAGCTTTTTTCCAGCACCAGAGCAGGACTTTGGTAAGATGTCACTTGAAGCATTTGTTGCAATATATCAATGATTAGGAAGACAGTTCCTTATTCATAGTCATGTTGTGTAAATTACAGAGTTTGCTGATTTAGACACGAAGCAAATCCAGCAGAATCCAAAGTCATATTATGAGGAACTAATGCAGGTGAAATCTCAATATAAGTCTAAAGATAAAGATTTAAGCATATCTTTTTATTATTATAAGATGGCATAACAAAAATGTTTGCTCTTATTTCTTAGATTGACAAAGGCTTTCAGATGACTAATGGTAATCAGAATGGAGGGAGAGAAATTTTCCTGAGAGCCCGTGGATGTGAAGGAAACAATGATTCATCAGACGGAACAAATACCTGGTAAGAAAAGACTGTTATCATTGTTGATAGAAACTCCTAAGGAGTCCTGTTTTATTTTAAGAGAAACAGGGTCAACCAAAAACATAGTGTCCTCAGTCAGAGGCATCTTCAAATGTGCTGTAATACAGACCTTAGAAGAACCTTGGATAATATGAGTTACAACAACATTTAATATCCCTTTGGGATCAATAACAATTTTTTAAATTGAACTTTGAATACAAAGCGAATTGGCGTTTCCTATAAGCCAAATGTCTCATTTTCAGTTTTATAATATTAATTTTAAAAATGATTATGGAACTAGTTAACAAATAGCATGGAAAGATAAAAGTGTATACCGTATAAACAAAATGAGTAATTTCACTCACACTATCACATGCTCTGCTTTGATTTTTCCTGTTACTGTTTGTGCTATCAGGTCAAACTCCCCGACTAAGCAGTTTCCTGGATTGGAATCCTTTAAACAACCAAATGGAGACTTTGGATCACCGCTCATACTGCAGGAGAGCCGCCATCCGTCTCCATCGCTGAAGGACATCTTTGTTCCTTTAGAAAGTATCAGATCCAGTACGTCTCCTCCGGTTTACACAGTTTGCAGCTAAGAATGAAAAATCTCCAAAGAGCCTAGGGTTTAAACGTGTAAATGATCTTATCTTCCTCCTGAATACAAAGCGAAGCAACGCAGATGGCTCTATCGTTATTTACAAAATCCAAAACGTAAAAAGATCGTGAAAAACATCAGAATTAATTTCTTTTGCCATTACAATATTTGCTTAGTTTCTTCAGTAACTTACAAACTCAGTTTTTGTATTTCTGAATTTTTTCATCTGTTTTTTTTTTGTTTTTTTTCTTATGTGTTGTAGGTCAGTTGGAGCCAATCACGTTGTACAACACGGCTGGGATCCACGTGTCCCTCCATTTTGCCAAAGACTGTCCGTCAGGTCATCCAGGTGTGGCGGTGGCCGTCATGTCCGCAGTGAACACATCTGCACTCGACGTGAAGGATTTTGTGTTTCAAGTCGCCGTCCCTAAGGTAAAAAAAATAAAACGGGTCACACTGTTATATCCAAAATGATGATGGGGGTCTATCAACTTAAAGACTTGTAGTTTTTATTGAGTTAATTCTTAGTCGTTACTTCATTGTTGAGTCTTTAAAGCTGCTGTGACATAGTTCCTTATCTTGCCATGTTTGTTCGGTTAATTTAGGTGAGTATAAATTAGGGTTGTCAATTTTGCCACATGCAATTAATCAGAAAAATTTATTGTGTTAATTTTACATAATGCAGATTAATCAGACTACCTGTTTTGATCTTAAAGCCTCTCTGTCTTGCGGAGGGTTACCTAATTTACTGCAGCGCTCTGTGACACAACAGCGAAACGTGAAAGTTTTCCGTGACAGCAACAAATGAAAGTTTTTCAACTTTCTTCTTATTGTGTCTTTTGTCTTACAATCGTCCAAATTCAGTTTTTTTTTAAGCACACACTGCACAATGTACTGCAATGGTACAAGGACTGGATAAATAAATGCAGCAAAAGTCTTAAAACTGCCTCTAATATATTTTTTTTGTTTTGTTTTGACCTACTTCTTTTTGGTCATCCATATTCTAGTGTTCGTTCCTAAACTGAGAACATTGCTGATTGTGACGTTAACTCTGACTTCAGAGCATGCTGGTGAAGCTTCAGCCGGCCTCCCAGACTCGGCTTCCTCCGTACAACCCTCTGCTGCCTCCACCTGCAGTCTCACAAGTCCTGCTGTTAGCCAATCCTGAAAGTGTGAGTAGAAAAGAGTCTGCTTGTTTCTGCTTGTGCACACCCAAAGTATACAAATTAGGATTTCATGCTTATTTTTCTAACCTGTCTGTAAATTATATCTTTAGTAAAAGTATGCAAATGAAATAGAAGAGCAGAAATAACCTTTATTGTGACTCAGTGGGGAAATGGTTGATTTGCGCTCAAGAAGCCTGGATGTTTGAGTTGTATCAAAAGTATAGCTGCGTTTCCAATACAAATTAAGCAAATTTATTTTGCAAGGGGTTTGAATGATTTGTATCTCATAAAATCCTGTCCTATTGTCACTTTTCAACCAATATTTTTCTTGTGTGTGAATTTATATGATTATAACATGGCTGTTTTTTTAAAGTATTATTCTTTTTTCTGTTCTTTCAGCGTAAAGTTCGGCTACGCTACAAGCTGACCCTGACGCACGGTGACCAGCAGCTCGTCGAAGCAGGAGAGATCGAGACCTTTCCTAACTGGACGATTTTGACTGGACAAAAATAGAAATAAAAAATAAATAAATAAATACACAAACTCAAGAATCTCACTCTGCTGGAGCTATAATGCAAACAGTGTAGGCAAAAGGAGCAAAATGAACTAACTGGGAAGATAACAAAGCCACTAAAGTGAGGGTGAGGTTCATGTGGAATAAAGCAATGTAGCAGCGATGAATTTTCAACTGTTTAGTGCTTCAGTTCTCAGGTGTTAAAGGTACAGTCACTGCTTTTTGTTATGTTAAAAACACAAAAACGTTCTGTTGAAGACAATCTGTTGCTTCCTATTCACCTGTATTGTAGGAATTTTATATTTTTATTAGATTGATATAAATTAAAACAAATAATCTGTAGTTCACCTGTAATGCAGTCCACTGACCACAAGAGGGCGCGTTTCAGTTCACAGGCTGCGGCAAAACCTCACTCACAGAGTTTTATTAGTCTTAGGAATGTCTATGCCTAATGCTTGATGAACATTAGACCTCTTTGTAAACAAGTCTGGAATAAAATTCAACCATCAATATTTATTAGGCAATAATAGATAATTATTGAAGCTGTTTTAAAATTTAAAAATGCCTTAATTCTTGCTATTATGAGCTCTATGGGCTTTTTATCCAGCTGGGAATTCTTCTGTTACTGCTGTGACTGTGGCTACATGTTCTGACCTGATCTTATGATATACAAATTACTGGTTACAGATGTGCACATTAAAACTTTTTCATTTCCCTACTTTACAAAAAAAAGATTAAAGTGTATTTACTGAGGAAATTGGATGTTTCATAATGGTGGGAAAGTATGTTATTTTCTTGTCATTTGGTCCGTAAAACCTTATAAAATTAGTATTTAAGAAATTAAGAGTTAAGAAAATTTTGAAAAAAAAAGAAAGAAAATGAGGTGAAACTGTGAAATTCTGTAATTGTGTCAGAACTGGTAATTATTGCAATTCTTACCCATGTGGAAACTAAATTCTTTTTTTTTTTTTTTTTTTTTTTACTTTTGAAAATTTTTGCAGCCAAACCACAACACTGTTGTCATCATCACGGTAGTATTATCTTATTGGCAATCGCATATATTTTGAAGCTGAAATTTGCCAATGAAAAGGCAGTGGTTTTATAAACAAAAAGATCCGTGCATTGTTTTTCTTCTATAAACTTTAGATTATTAGTAAAAGCATAATATGCTATCAGTTGTTTTATTATTGAATGTTTTTTTTTGTCCGATGTAGTCTGATATTGTAACAAAATTTTCAAATTCATTCTTTATAGTCTTTTAACATTGATATAAAGCTTGCCTTTTTAAATTTTTTTATCCAAAATCTCTGATATTCGTCTCATTTTATTGAATCATTTGACCATTTCAAAGAAACTGCAGCAAACATCAGATGCCAATGTATGCTGATATATTGCATACAGGAAGGTCGCAAAGTATTTCAAAAATATTGTGCAGTACTTTTGCTGTATAAATAGTGCTTTATAAATAAATTGACATTGACATTAACAATGAAAAGAAAACCTTCTAGAGATATAATATCTAATAAATTCTCTTAGATTTGTATATTACAAAGTCAAGTAAAGTCAACGCTCATTGTCAGAGCCGGCTCAAGACATATGCAAGTTAAGCAGCTTCTGGGCTGCAAGAGCACCAAGCTTGCATAATGTTATATATGTATACAGATATATAAAATAACATTGAATAATACAAACTAAATGCTATTACACATGGAAAAACAATTTCTAAATTATTTTTAGAGTTGTTACACTAATACTAGGTTAATCTCTTCCTGATGTTGGCAGCAGGTGTTACTTTCAAATAATTAAAATAATATGGCATATTTAAATACCACTCTGAATTTAAATTTTTTGTTTTTAGATCGCTACTCCTCAGGTTTAAAAAAAACGGCCATAATAACACTGCCAGTGTTACACTGGTATGATGTACGTTGATTACATCTGGCGTGACATGTTGGAATTGGGGGGCCCAAATGAAAATCTGCTTAGGGCCTCAAAAAGACTTGGGCTGGCCCTGCTTATTTATAAATGTAAATTTAAGAGTAGAAGAAAAGTTTCATTTATTTCCGAATAATCTGTGTGTGGTCCCTTATATAATGCAACTTTTGACCGACAATATGAATAAAGTATTATTCAGCTTTTTTATTTGTTTTATTTTATTTTTTAACTAAAATTATTAACAGAAATTATATAGGACCCAAAGAGCCTCACGAGGCTCCGCGTCCCATGCTGTGAGGAACGTGGTGACAAACCGGAAGTGTTTGTCGAACAGTTAAAAGCCACTTGACAAAGCCTAGCTGAGGTTAGCCGTCAGCCCCGGTTCCGTCGTTCTGCAGGGATGGAGGTTACACGACAAAGTAAGCAGACAGCCCGCCTTTGGTTTTAGTTCTATCCTTTTGTTGCTTACCATGAAACCCATAGCACATAACATACTCTGCTTCTTTGCAGAGTATGTGTATGCCATAGATAAAAACCGAAATCGCAGTATATGTGTTTCAGCTTGTAGCTAGCTTGCTAGGTAGCATCACTGCCTAAATGTGCTCAGCTGCCTGCTAACCCCCATAGACCTCTGCCTTTTAAACGTTAACCCACTTTATGTTTCCCCAGATTTTAAAGACTGTTTAAGCACAGTGTACAGCGCCATAGAGGAGGCTGACTTTCTTGCCATCGATGGAGAATTTTCAGGTTACTGTCTCCGCATTTTCTGGCTAAAACGTAATTACAAGAAGCCACCACGATATGTGTGAAATTACGGTTTTTCTTTCAGGTATAAGCGACGGTCCTAATGTCAGTGCATTGACCAACGGGCTGGATACACCTGAAGAGAGATACACGAAGCTGAAAAAGGTCATTTAAAACCCTGTTTCTGAAGAGAACTGTGCTGTAAACATGTCTGGTTGACATTGAGGGTTTTTTTTTTTTTTAAATTATTAATAAAATTTTTGTGCAACGTTTTGTTTTTACCCACCAGCATTCCATGGACTTTCTCATGTTCCAGTTTGGCTTGTGTACATTCAGATACGACTCTGCCAAGTCGAAGTGAGTGTCTTCTTCTGCATAAATACACACTTATAGATCACACAGACAACATCTGGGACAGATTATGTTGGTAGTCTGCTAAACAAATGCAGTGTTTTCCTTTTGTTTTAGCATATAAGTATAGTATATGAAATGTGTTTGACTGTATCAAGCATAGTGCAGCAGAAAAAAAAAAAGTCGATATGAAAGTTTATCCATCTATCTAATTGCTGCCACTCTGCATATCCATTCATGAAGCTTTATATCTGTTTACTGACCCATCTGTCCATCAGTATGATATTTAATGTCTTATAAAGTTATAAAGGGACTGACATCCTTGGATGTTTGAGTCCTCATAAGTACGGAATTGTGACTTTTGGGTGTTTTTATCTACCGTTTGCTGTCGTTTTTATTGAGGCTGTCAATTTTTTGTGTAGCCATGCCCACACACCTCCTTATTCTATATAAACTTTTTTTTTTATTATTCTGCTCTTTCTGCAGGTACATTACGAAGCCTTTTAACTTTTATGTTTTCCCGAAACCATTCAGTCGGACGTCTCCTGACATAAAGTTCATCTGTCAAGTAAGCGCGACTTTTCTGTTGTTGGGGCTCTTGTAGCTTCGATGTCTGTAAATGGCTTTTCTGTTCGTCACTGATGTTTTCTCTCTTTTTTTTTCTTTTTTTTGAAATGAAAAATTCATATGTGGTGCTTTCTTTTGCTATTTCAGAGTTCCAGCATTGACTTCCTGGCGAGCCAGGGATTTGACTTCAACAAGGTGTTTGGTCATGGTAAAAACAGCACTTTATTTTTTTTTATGAACAAAATTATATTTTCTATTGACTATAAATGTTTGACCTTTTAAAACTTAGGAAAAACCCAACAACTTGCTAATCAGAAAAGTTCAAAGGTTTTTCCAAAATTAAGCTACTGCTGTTTAGTCTTCTTAAAGAATCTTCATATATTTATATATTTCATATTTTTGAGATGGGGATGAATGAAAGTCTCAATTCAGTACAAAGCAGATGTTTACTCTAAACATGTCACTCTGATGCTAGCTTCTTAGCTGTTTTTATATTTTAAGAAGCCTGTAATGTTTTTCACTGAACTCAAATAAAAAAAAAAAACTTAAAATGCTCACTTTATTGTTGTCTTTGATATAGTATATAACACCTTTTTATTTGAATTAAGACCATTTGTGGTAGATTATTGATTAAAAATGGGTGTTGTACAGTGGTGGAGTTCTTGGCATGGTTGACTTGCAACAAAAATTGGGTTTTGAACTCTGACCTTGTGTCCTTTGGCTTTGGTGCGTGGAGTTTTCCATTTCTCCTGTGTATGCGAATCGTCTCACCGTTCAAACACACGACAGTTTCTTACTAAACACTGCTTCGACTCTGAGCACAAAACATAATTCGACTAAAGCGTCTGCAAAACGTTCTTTCCTCCTCTTATTTGGATTAAAGCAAACGATTATCCAACAAGTTCCCTCAATACAGAGGGAACTTTGATGCCACAGAATCCCCTTTCAGGAGAGTTTGGCTGCCGATGGTTATGGTAGCCGCAAATCGGAAGTTTCCTGTGCGGTATTAAACGGGTTTTCTCTGCGTTCTCAGGAATCCCGTACCTAAATCAAGACGAGGAAGCTCAGCTGAGAGAGCAGACGGAGGAACGGAGAAACCAGCACGCCAACGGTCTCGGGACGCCTTCCTTTATCTCCCCGTCATCCTCCAAAGTCCCTGCACACGTACCAGACGAACAGAAAGACTTCATCAACAAAGTGGTGTAAGTGGAGCTGCTCTGGAGATCGCCTTGTTGATGTATGGGTGAAAACTGGATGAAACATGAAAAGTCACTGCACCAGTTTGGCAGTCTTTGATATTTAAAACTAAAATCTAATCAGTGCTTATATGGTAAGTTTTTCAGCCGTATCATCCAGCCCTACTTTTGACAATAACTCACAAAACGCAGTATAAGTTGGGGATCCTTCTATGACCTTTTGAACTTTGTGGGAAGATGTTATCTAAAGTCTTTCCCATCTGTCTTTCTGTCCATTTCTGTGCATTTTTAAGTCAGAGAGAAAGTCGAGAGGCTTTTCAACGGAAACGAGAAAACTCTGAACTTGGACCCATGTACAGGGTAATGTTTCCTCTTTTCTCTAAAAGTCATTCCTATCCTTTTTTAAAAAAAATTATATTAATGTATATATTTTCCTTCTCAGATTCCAGAGAAAGCTGATATACCAGACACTGAGCTGGAAGTGAGCGCCACTGAACACGCTTTAACATTTCTTTATTGCCTCTTCATAGAAAATTGACATTTATCTTGTCTTGACATCACAGGTTTCCCAAAGGCCTTCATGTAGAAACATTGGAAACAGAAAAGGTACGCATACATCAGATTTTTTCTTTTTTCTTCCATTTTCATGCCTTGTGGATGCAAGTTGCTGACTCGGCTGGTCGTGTCTGCAGAAGGAGCGCTTCATTCAGATCAGTAAAGTTGACGAGGAGGAGAGGAAGAGGAGGGAGCAACAGAAACTGGAGAAGGAGCAGGTGAGTTTATTATTATGGTTATTGTATCGTTTATTATGCATCATTTTTTCTTAGAATAAATATTGTCATAATAAATTCCAATTAAGTGTTTGTTTTTTTTTAAAAAGTGTATTTTTTTCTGTAGTAGTTTTAATGGGTTTTTTTTTTCTTACTGTTCAAATGAGGACATTAATAAATGTGAAAATTATATTGTGATAAACCTTTAAGTTGCCCATATCGCCCACCCCTAACATGAGATGCTTAGTTTTCTGTATTGGTGTGGAAACCTTGATGCCGTCTCATTAATATAAATGCTACGAGGAACAAGTTGCTTTTCTCACAGGTCTCTGTCCTGCATTTCTCCTCTTTCCCCACCAGGAGGAGCTCAATAACGCTGTTGGCTTCTCCAGGGTTATCCATGCCATTTCTAAATCTGTGAGTCACTCCTTTCACTTCATCACATACAAACCTGGTGCTTAATGGCAGTTTTAAGTATATCATATCGTTTAATTGTCTAAAATTTATTTTCTTTATAAGAAGAAATCATTGCTATGACATATTTCAGTTAAAGTTTTGAACCCCCGCTCTCCCAAAACTGTCTGCATTGTTGTTGTTTTTTCCTATTTTCGTCACTGTTTTAGTATCAGTAAACCTCAATAAATGTGAAAATAGGATTAAATGCAGTTGGTGTGTGTAGTTTAGTGACAGAAATCAGGTTTTATGTGACTGGTGTTATAAAGAAGTGTATTATAACTTGTCATACAGTCTCAGCCATATGTAAAGTTACCTAAAAGTAACATAAATAGTTATCGTTACTTTTGTTATCACAATAGTAGTACAAAACATCGTGATAAAGCTTTAAGTCCATATCGCCTACCCTTAGTTTTAAAAGGAAGAATGCAGAGTTTTTCTGTAATGTTTGGGTTAATAATATGGTTTGCGGTTCTGACTCGCAGGGTAAACTGGTGGTTGGCCACAATATGCTTCTGGATGTGATGCACACCATCCACCAGTTCTACTGTCCGCTGCCAGAGGTAAAAATCGATCCTTCTTCCATTCCTGTTGTATGAATTGTTTTAACTTCTAACCTGTCTGGTTATGTCCCTACTCTTTTCTTAAGGACCTTCAAGACTTTAAAGAAGTTGCAATGTGTGTTTTCCCAAGGTAATGTTTCTTTTAAGAAAATATGCACTTCTGTCTTAAACTACTTAGTTTTTACTAGGGCTGGATGATAAATCAGTAACGATAAATATCATGATAGAAGCGTGATCAGTCTCGATAGATTCACTGAACTCCAATCCAGAACTGCACAGCATTCTGGGAGATGTAAGCAACCCAAACCTTTCACGGCGAGCTGAACAAGGGATCGACTAACTCACTCACTCTTTGGTTACCTGGCAGCAACTTTAGTAACTTGTGGTTACCTAAAAACAACCTGTTGTGCAGCAGCAGTTTCAGTTAACTGGATAAAAATAAAAAATGTTTTGGAGAGAAAACTGAGTAAAACACCTCCGGCTTGGCAGGATGTCAGATTTTTAAAACTAGACATGCACAATAACTTTATTCTTTAAAAAAAATAATAAAGTTTTCTCCAGTTATACTGATATAACCTGAACTCGAGTGCTTGATTTTATATATAAAAAAACATAAACAACTAAACGCCACCAAACATGTTATGGTGCTATTATTCTTCATGATATTGGACTGATAAGAATGATGTCATAATGTATGGTGCCGACGGTTATCGTCCACCTCTATTTAAAACAAAAAACTAATTGATAAGTATTTCATATTGGTTGATAATTATTTCGTGGTACATTTTTTTCCAGTCATATCATCCAGCCCTAATGTTTTGATAGTTTTTTTTGTTTTTTTTCTTTGTATGTTTTGGATGATTTATCAATTGCTTTTTATCCACTTGTAGACTTCTAGACACAAAGCTGATGGCCTCCACTCAGCCATTTAAGGTAAAATCCAACCTCACCTCTCTATTCTGATTCTGTCAGCCGTGATGAATCTGTTTTCTGAGCAAAGATCTTTCGTCTGTCCAACAGGAGCTGATCAACAACACGTCTCTGGCAGAGCTCGAAAAACAAGTGAAAGAAACTCCGTTCAAGCCACCGCAAGTTGGTGAGTCAGTCCACTGGGAAGTGTCTGAAATGCCTAGTCATGACCCCAAAAGTCAACCGCTGGATGTTTCTCCTCCTCCGTCGTCGATAGAAACCGCCGAGGGGTTCCCTAGCTACGACACGGCCCAGGAGCAGCTCCACGAGGCCGGATACGACGCTTACATCACCGGCCTGTGTTTCATCTCCATGGCCAACCACCTGGGTAAAACAACCAATTTCAGTTCTACTTTTGGTTGCATGTGGGTTTTCTTTCCATTTTAGTTATTAGTTTTGGTTGGTTTTATTATAGATATTTAAAATGCCTTCTAGTTCCAGTGTGAACTAGCCTTTGAGATGGTAAATTTGCTTTATTATGGCAATACCTTTACATTACTTGAAAATGTCTGGAAACAGCAATAGTATCGTTTTATCGCAATAATTTCAGGAACAATTTATTGTCAAATGATGACAAGCCTATTGATACTAGATGGTCTGTAAACTGAACTATTTGTATTTGCATTTTAAACGCACTTAAATTTTCTCTACTTTCTGTTGCAGGTTCTTTCCTGATGCCGCCGATATCTTACATCTCCCCCCGATCGAAACTAGTTGAACCTTTCTTCAACAAGTAAGCGCTTTTGTTTGCTTTTTTTATTAAATGCACAAGATCACGTTTTCTTGTTTTACAACTTTATTTTTTTTTATTTTTTACTTACTTAGGCTCTTTCTGATGCGGATTATCGACATACCCTACCTCAACATCACCGGACCAGATTGTAAGTAAACTATCGAAACACAACTTTAATTTCTTTATTCTTTTTCTATTGTGGATACAGCTGTAAGTATTTGGTAGGATGTTTTTGAGGAGGTGGGTGTAGGAGGGAAAAACTAGAGTGGAGTTGATGTCCAATCACTGGGAAAAAAACTGCAAGACATTGCCAATCATTTGATGATTGCAGTCCCCCCCACTTTAGGGTTTTTAGATTCTGGCCTTTAAATAGCATTGGTGTCAGTGTGAAAGTTGCTTTAGCGATGTAAGGTATTTTTAAAAATTAGATTTTCTAAATGAACCGTTCTCAAATCCTTAACTCCTTTTTTTTAATTTTCCTTCAACAGTGCAGCCGAAGAGAGACCATGTCCTGTACGTGACCTTCCCCAAGGAGTGGAAGACGAGTGACCTCTACCAGCTCTTCAGTGCCTTTGGTAAGGCATCAGAAAATGGATGTATTCTGCTTTTAATCCGATACTACTCTGTTGATGCTGCTTTTGTTGTTTGTCGTACGCACCCAGGTAACATCCAGGTGTCGTGGATAGACGACACCTCAGCCTTTGTCTCTCTAAGTCAGACGGACCAGGTGCAGATCGGTAAGTCTCGCGCAGTCGGGCCGGGGGCCGGAGAGATGGACTGCCGTTGGGTGTTAACAGGAGCTCTGTTCCACCAGCTATGAACACCAGCCGCTACGCAGAGAGCTACAAGATCCAGACGTACGCAGACTACATCCAGGGGAAACAGCAGGAGAAGGAGAAGCTCGGCCAGCCAGCTAAAACCTGGGGGGATGACAGCTGGGTGAAGCCTCACTACCCGTCCTCCACTACGTCTGCTGGGTTTGGGTTCTCCAGGTGGGGCTGCAAGCGGCTTTCTCCACACACATCATTCAGTGTTTTTTTTGTTTGTTTTTTTTTTTCCCTTCCTGGATTGTAGCTTGTGGTGCACACACGTTTTTAGTTTGAGATTTTCTGATTTTGTTCCAGGAGGAAACGCAGCATCAGTCCCACTCAGGGGGAGCAGGGAGGCGACGACGGCGCATGTGGGGATGGCTGGAACCACTACTCATTCCCAGACGGCACTGGCAGCAAAAAGATCAGATATGATGGTGTGTGAGAGAATATGCATGTATTTATATGGGCAGGACAGATGGGGTTGTTCTTAGGGGGACAGGATGGTTGAATAATCTGTTATTCAACCATCATATAGATGATATTCTACCAATAGGTACTTTGAAAAAAGTTCTTCCTTGGAAATGTGGACTGGATGCTGACATTAGGATTGGAGACGTCTTGTGCTAACTGCAAAATGTTTAGCGTTGGGATGTTGTTTTAGGGTTGAATAGCTTTGCTAATAGGCCATGTCCTTTAACACAACTTGAACACCAAAGTCTTTTTTTCAGTGTCCAACCTGATTGTTTTCTGATCGTTTTTTGTTAGTGGATATCACTTGTGCGTCAGATCTATGGGCGTACCAGAAGAATATAAAGGTTCAAGCTGGAACCGTTGTGTGATTTTAAAAAATAATTTTATTGCAACTTTATTTTTTTTTTACATGTAAAATCTATGTAATTGGCTAACTAAAATTAATTTGCTAGTATTGGCCCTAAAAAACAAATAGGCTAATTTTGACAGAGCATATCAGATGTTGAGATTTATATATATATATATAAATAATATTTGGATTAAGTAGGACAGTTTATTCAAGGATAAAAAATTTTCTGCTGTTAAAACAAAATCTCACCAAGTATTTTTGTCTAATTCCTTGTGCAAATATTTTGGTACACTTAAAATAAGACTAAACTAACTTACAAGTAACTTTTCAACAAAAATGAGATTTTTTTAACTCAGTAATTCTTTAATATCAATGAAAAAAATACTTGTTTCACTTGCAGATTATTTCACTTATAATATGGAAAAAATGTGTTTTAGGTGAAATAATCTGCCAGTGGAATTAGCACTTTTAAAGTTACTTGTAAATTAGTTTTGTCTTAATTAAAGTGTACTAAGATATTTGCACAAGACGCTAAACAATAATGCTTGGTGAGATTTTGTGGGTTTTTTCAGTGTTCCGACTAGGGAAATGTAGCAAGTCAAGCCTGGCTCTCCTTTCCTTAAAGGTGTTCTTAGCTCACTTAATGCCGGGTCTTACACCAGTAACGAATGCAGTGTATTGATTCCTGATCTAAGCTCGTCTGCACCGTCTCTCCCTCCAGATGTTGGCGGGCAGGCGAGCGTTGAAGCTGTGGAGAGCAAGACATCAGAAGGCTGGCTGAAGATGACGTAGGTGGAGGGACAACTTCTCTGTGCTGTCCAGGTTCTCTCTGCTGTTGCTTTATGTTTCGTTTTCTCCTGCAGAAATTCTTCATATTTGGCCGAACCAAGTCCAGTCCCAGATGCTAAAAGTCCAGAAGGTGCCGACTCGGGCAGCTATGCTGATGGGACGGCTACGTGGCACCAAACCCCAAAAGTTCCAGGAAGGAAAGGTCAAAAAAGCAAGAAGAAGAAATCTGACGGTGAGTTATTCACTGCTGTGGTTACCTGAAGAGGCGGGGTTGGTGGTTTTGTTCATGGTACATGTTCTGAGTTGAAGTGTAAGGGGTATGGGATCTGATGACCAGGGCTTTCCTCCTTGCAGACTGGTTGTTGGGTCGATTCGTCAACGACCGGAAGCAATTAGCTTTTCTTTTAAAAGAATCTATAGGCTCATTTTTCACTTACTGTAAATAACTTTTCTTCCAATAAAACATTTATAGTGCGCTACAAACTAAAATATAAACATTTTGGAAAAATGTATAAATTATATTTAAAATACCACTTGCTGCTTTGCAAAAACAAATAAAATGAATCTCTTATTTAATATATTCGTATATGATATATAGGATTTTATTACTTGATTGTGCTATAAAATTATAGTAGTTGGCTGGAAAACACGATGCATAAAATTTGACACTCAAATTGTGGGAATTAAAAAGGTTCAGATTTTTCAATGAAATTTTTCTTTTCTTTTTTTCTAACTTGAGACTGTCTCCATCTTTGGTTCCAGCGTCAGATTCTACAACCTCCCTGTTCGAAGTCCCAGAAGTCTGGTAGAGCAGGCTTCTGGGCCGGCCTCTCCTCCTCAACACTTGGTGCACGCTACTCCAGGGTCATAAAGCACAGAGTGCTGCATGCCCCACCTTCATGCTCTCATTCAGCACTTACGGATAAAGTGTCCAAAGCTACCAGCTGAGACATTTAACACAAGTTTTGAAAGCAAAAAAAAAAAAAAACAACAAAAATATAATAAGCCATAACAGCAGCTGCCATATTCTGATCTTATACCAGAGGAGCAGGCACCTCCTCAGAAATGACTATGTATATCTCAAACATGTATAAAGTGCAGAGTTTCACTTATTCACTGATGTGTTCAGACTGCAATCTGCCTCCACAGCCATTTGGCACTTTGAATGCATTCATAAATTTTATTGAGAGATGTCTCTAATCAGTCTTATATTTTTTTCTTTTTTTGCGAGTGAATTTTTTGTGCTTGTGTGAGAGAGTGTCCCATTTTCCCAGTGTTTGTATTCCTGCAAGTTGTTTTCCTAAGAGATAGAAATGCCATTTAATAAATCCCATCAGGATTATTTAGAGTTTTAACACAGTCTGACTTTTTGTTGTTTTTTTTTTTCCTCATTTTAAGAAAATTGTCTTCTTCCTTAGTTTTATCAGACAAATGTGAGCTTATAATTGAGATTGTGATATTTATTGTTGGTGGCATTTTCACCCTTCATGAAAGGTGCTCTTTATTTTTTTTTGTACATAACTTTTTTTTTTTTTCATTTGTGTTCAATGTTTTGTAACTGTCAACCTGCAACAATGTCAAAGTATGCTGTCAGCACAAAAAGATGTACAATTTAAAACATTTTTGTATGAGTTTAAAAATCCTTAAATTTCCTTTTAAAAGAAAAAAGAGGAAAAATTAAAGAATGTTTCTTAGTAATTGTTTCTGTTAGCATTTTTTTCTACCTTGGAACATTTTTTTTTCTTTTAAGGTTTAAAACAATGTCTTTTTTTTACAAATACAATCACTTCAGTTTTTTATTTTTATTTCACAATAAAAATTGCCTAAACCTTTTTAATGTCCATTAAATAAAAAAAATCATGATTTTTTTTTTTAATTAAGCTATTTAAAACATAGCTGATGTATTAATTACTATTGTTTTAAAACGGCCTTTGACAGGCCTTCTGTATTAAAATTGTTTTAAAGATATGATGCCATTACGACTTTTTACAGCCTCTTCAGCGCATGAAAAGTTTGAAAAAAAAAAAAAAAATGTGTTCTGTCTCCATGATGTTTAATGGTCTGACAAAGATCTGCTTCTTTTGCTGAGATTCTGCCGATTTCGCTCCAAAGCTGTTCAGGAGTTTTCAGGGTGTTTCCTTGACGTGCTCTTTGCTCCCTTTAAAATCCGTCTTTGACTTCCAAAAAACATAAACCAGGATGATCAAAACCTCTACTGCAAAAAGAACAAAAGAGACTCTCAGAAATATTAAACGAGGGGAAAATGTGTGCAATCTGTACAGTATACATTTTAAAAAAAATTTTTTGTTTTACCTGTTGTGTCTGAGCAGCAGCACCACAGACAAGGTGCCGTCTGGGAGCGAGTTGAAGACTCTACTCAGTCGGCGGTCCAGCTTATTCAGGAGGCTCGCTTCCTGATTCTACATGAGACAAAGTGGAGCCTTGATGTGCTCAACATAATAAATACATCAATAAAAATGCTACTTTTGATGTGCATTTCATATTAAATTAGACTGAATCCCAAATCATTTACAGTTCAAACTGGTTGCCTGACCTTCAGGTTGGATCTAGTTTTCACCTTAACTAAACTGTCACACCCATTTAATGTTAATGATCCGTACTCACCTGTTAGCAGCACATTGTTATTCACTGGTGCTGATCGATTGAAGAGTGTGGTTTGACTAAGGTTTGCATTTTTAGTTGGTTCAAACTTATACGTTTATAAATAAAGGTTAATAAAAGTTGGAAGAGGAGGTTTCACACCAACACAAAACTCAAAATCTTAGAAGATATTTTGTGGGGTTTAAGTGTGTTTTTGTTTGGTGTAATACCTGAAAGTCACAGTAGGTGGCATCATGTGATTAAAATGTGATTAAAAGGAGTCAGAGGTAACTTCTCAGCAGGTGTGCTGATTGCGCCGCCGGAAACGCGCAATTTTTGACCATCGTCGTTGCTGTTTGTTGTTGAATAATTGCGGCAATTACTTGAAGCTTTTAGTTGGACTAAGTTAACACTGTAAGTGTGCAATATACAATTTCGCATCTTGTTGGAGAGCGCAAGATCAATAAAAGATCAGAAGAACAGCAGGTGTTCGTTCATTGGGTCCACGAAGTGCCACTCAGCAGCCTGCCAGTGGCTTAGGTTAGTTTTGTTTTCTTTATGAAGAACAAGACACTATATTCATAAGTCAGAAACTGCGCTTCAATTAGGAGCCTTAGTCAGTTACGCAGAGGACACAGCACGGAGGATGAGAAAGAAGGACGAGTTCCTGGACGAAACTATCAGCTGATTCATCCGACGGGGACTCCATCACTTCTGGCGCCCATCGCTGGCAGCGAGGTATGAACAGCAGCGCTTCCAACATGGGCATGAGGACTTTTAAAAATACCTTTTAAAAAATTAATTACTTAAACAATTTTATACGTTTAGTTGGAATTTTCAGCCATGGAGGTTGCCTTTTTATCACCTGCGCAAAGCAAGCTGGGTTGATGACGCGGTTGGGTAAACACAGGAAGGCTAACTTTACCTAAGTTGTCGTTTATTATATTGTCATATTGCACTTGACTGGTGTAAATTTAGGCTCGCCTACAGCATTTTTATTTCTATTTCTCAAATAAAGTTTATTGCTATAACTAATAATGGATCAATTTAAGACAGTTATTAACGGGTGAACATAAATAAAGGGGACGTCATGAACAGGTCCTGTCAGTAGTACTACACAACTTATCTTCATTAAGGTGGTGGTATGTAACTTTTCTAATAGAAAATGTATTCTTTTTACATTTGTTACATATGTCATTAAATAATGGAAGTAGTAGATGGGATAATCTGAAAAAAATCAAGGTAACTACAGAAATATACAGCTCAGTATGGAACAACCAATCAGAGCCAGAAGGAGGGTCTTAATGCTGTCAATCGCCCTAAATAGTAAGCATGGCCACCAATGATGGCGGGATAAACAGTTTTCCTAGATAAGTTGTTTCTCCTAATTCGTACATTGAGCAGTGCATACATGAGCATGATTGACAGGACCTGCCTCGTTGCTCTGATTGGTGGATTATTTGTCTCATACTGTCAGGACATAAAGACGTTAAATACTTGGAAAACATAGTTTTTCTAAAACTCACACACCAGCTTTAAACATACTGATACAACTTTAGAAATTAAACAATAATATCACAGCATTTAGCCTCATATCAGTTTCTGGAATTAAAACAGAAAAATTCTTAAGTCGGAATTCTCAGTTTCTGGTTCTGACTTCTGAAGTAAACAAAGAGTATTTACCCTCTGAATCCCACCGTAGGTAAATGAGTCAGGCCTCTGCTCGTCCGCGGCATCCTCCTCTGCGTCTTGCATCTTCCTTGATGTCGCCATGCCAACCCATGAATGTAAGTGTGGTGGAGTCATAGACGGCCAGGTTAGATACCCGGTTTTCAGCAGATGATCTGAGGAGCTGAGTGCCGCGTGTTTGCCATCAGAACTCTCAAACTCTGTCAAACACACACGGTCAGGCTGTACATTTCTGCAAAACGTCTCGTGAACATGAAAGAAAATGAACTACACGTCCTTTACCCACCAATGCGTGCATGCCTTGCATGCATACCGGGCAGCGTGACGCTTTTTATTGACCCAAAGGGACTGAATGCCTCTCTGAGGCTCTCCTCGCTCAGGTCCGGTGCGATGGTGCCGGGATGCAGATGTTTACCGTTTACTTTAGCCGTCTGTAACGAGCCGTTCGTTTGTCTGCCGGGATGGAAACCTGATGGTTTTCCACCCAACAGACGGCCGTTAACTGTAGCAGAAATGCTCAGTCCCTCAGCCACGTCCTTACTCAGTCTGCTGACATAAAGCTGATTGGTGTTGACTCTGTCGCTCATTAGAGCGTCCAGATTCAGGTCCAAGTCCAGCATTGATTCTTTGACAGGCCTCTGCACCTGGAACATTTACAAACACATTAAAAAAAAAAAAAAACATTAAGTTTAAGTACGTAAACATTAGAGGAAGAAGAGAAGAGCAAATGGAGAAGCTCTACCTTGATGGTCTGACCCGACACGCTGAACCCATTCAGAACTTCTAAAGCGAGCGTTGCTCCTTCCAGCATCTGAAACTCCACCTTGGCGTGAATCTGGAAATTAAATTTAAGAAGAAGAAGAAGAAGAAGAAGTGACCAACCTCATCCAGAGACAGTGAAACTCATTCTTTTTTTTTTTTTCTTTATATGATGACAGAACAATCATAAACATGAAATCCACCCTGACTCCTGTGTTCCTCATCTGGACTTTGTGGACTGGCCCGCAACAACTAAACAGCCGCTTCACTTCTCTTTTGGAAAAGTGGACTGGGAACGGCCCGGAAAACACGGTGCACATGTCCCGGAAGACTGCAGAAACCTGCGGATAAAACACACGTTTTGGTACCTTCGAACACCGCCTGCACAACCGCAATGTCTACAGAGCGTGGCGAAGAGCTCACATTGTGATGCAGCTGCTGCTGGTGGTAACGGTGAGCGTAGCTTCTTTTCATATGGTCAGAGAGGGACGAAAAGCGAAGGACGGACAGGAACAAGTGACTCGTCTGGTTCCTGAAGGATGACAGCATCTGCAGAAGGAACGGGATTCAGGGAGATGCTACAGTACTAGAGGTTGTCAGAGCAACTAAATATGTCTGGGTTTTTTTTTTTTCTTGATAAAAGATGAACTAAAGAGGCTGTTAGTTATTCAGAGGGGAGAAAACTGTAACTGTTTAAAATGTTCACCTCTTTGTCAGATCTGTACCAGCGCTGATGGGACAGGTCCAGGTCAACGAAGGCACGCTTTCCCAGAAATGCTACGGGGCGGCTGAGGCTCTGCAAAATGTCTGCAAACCTACGTGAGAGAGAGGGGAGGGGGGAGTTAAGAACTGAAGCAGAAACATGACGCAAGAAAAGTTTCACTGATTTTCTCATTTATTGAGGCAGAGAAAGGAGCAGCTCCTGTTTGGATCAGGATGAAAACGCTTAATGTTGCATTGTGTGAATGTCTGTCCCCCCCTCCATCAGTGAAGCTCACGGGGAATTAAAGGAGGCAAGGCTTGACAAGAAAAAAAAAATCACTTTTTGTGCCAAAATATATTTTCAGAATAAAACAGAATAGAGTACAAACAATCTGCTGGGTTTCCATAGATACAGGGTTCATGTGCTCTACCTGCCGTAAAATTGAAGCATTTTCAAGGTAAGTTTTCAAACTTTTCCAAAGCCACGCAATTCACTATTATGTGACATTTATTACTGTCATTAATAATATATTGTGATAGTATCCTCCATTCTACAGCAGGGACAAAATAAACTAAAATATAACTACATTTAATGTTTTGAAAATTCTCTCCCACACACCTGACTGGTCTGAGAACAAAACAGTAATTTAACAAAAAAAATCCCCAATTTCAACAAGTTTCAACATATAAAATATCAGACCAGCTTTATTTCAATTAGATCAATAAGTCATTGAGGGTTTAGGAATAACAAATACATCACATTAAATAAATTGACTTGTGTTGAGGTAAATGATCTTCCTGCTCAAGTCAAATGCTATAACATATTTTTTTTTTAAAAACTAACTTTACTTTCTGTAACCAATCTTTTCTCTGAGAAAGAAAAAAAACCAGACTTCTCAAACATCTGATTAAAATTCAAGGATTTCAACCCCCTGTACAAACTCTGTAAACAAGAATCTTTTTGGACCAATTTCAGTCATAATCTGAACTTAGCTACATGTGTTTGACACCTAGGATCTACTGGAATGTATGCATGACTGGATTGAAAGTTCAAAAATACTTCATTGACCCCACAAGGGAAATTAAAACTCATTGTACCTCATATTAATTCAAATTCTTCAGAGTTATTATAGATGTACTTTTGTTTTTGTAAAGGCCCATGAGATGGGACTTTACAAAAAGAGCTATATACATCAAACCAAATAGAACAGAACAGATGTCAAGGACATAAAGAGCTGTAAAGATTTCTGCTCACCTGTAACTTGGCGTGGGTTCAGGTGTGCAGTCGGGAGACTCCTCTAAGCTCCACCCCCACAGCTCCTCCAGGTGAAGCTCCACAACCTGCCAGAGTGAACAGGAGGTCGCAGGTTTTAACATCTGTAAAGGACCTGGAGCGTCTGCGCTGTTTGCAAAAAGCGGCCCGTCACCTGGAGCGGCCCCATTCTGATGAAGTACTTGGCCAGATCCAGCGCTGCCACGGCGTCCTCGGTGGGATTGTGACCCCTCTGGTCCTCGGTTTGGATCTGCCTCCTGAGATGCGGGCGGAACAATAACCAACCGTGTGACAGACACGCAGAGACGCTTGAACGGGAACTCACTTCAGCACCGCCTGGGCCAGAACCTTCAGCTTAAACTTCTGTCCGTGTTCTTTCCTGTACAGCAGGGCGGTGTCGATCACGTGAGGATGGATGAGCTGTTGTTGGGGACGGGAAGTCACAACGGTTTTAAAACCACAACTTTTGTGCACTTTTTTTTTGTAGGAATGCACTGATTGCACTTTTCTGGTCGATTACCAGATTAAAGAGCCTGACCTGCCGATATCGATTTTATTTTATTTTTTTAAATGTTGCCGAGTATAGCAAGAAAATGACTCGCAGACTAAGCGAAACAGTAGAGTAAAAATGTTTGCACTCTTTAACTCCCTTCTGAATAGTAGCAAATGTACAAATTCTTCCAAGAAAGTATATAAATCTTTAAACTTACAATAAACCAGCCTTTAGAAAAGATGGAAACTGTAAAGTAACTATAGTTTCCAAAAAAAACTAACTTTGGTTGATGATTATAATCAAACAGAATTTGGTGCTGAAACGTTTACATGCTCTGAGACTGAACATCATGTAAGAATCTTGGTGACTTACTTTGAGTGCTTTGAGGTCATTGTTGAGGGAGTGGCCCACCAGAACGGCATCATCTGGTAACAGTGTCCTGATCTTAGCCTGAACGTCCCGCAGCGTGGTGGTGACCGGTCTTAACATGGCTGCAGTGATGCCTGAGAACCTGATAAACCAAATAACCGTCTACCTTCAGATTCCATTCAAAACGACTATTAATTCAAAAGGGAAATTAAAATATAAGCCATGACAAAACATGCACCTGTACATACCCTCACAGTAGGCTGAGAGTTTGATTAGAGCATGTGTGTGTTTTAGCATTTCTAACTATGCAAAGCCATTTTTTCCAACACATACTACATTGTGAGGGCCTATTAAAAGATATATAGAGGTAATGTATATTTTTATATGTGTATGTGTGTGTGAAGCAGGTTTTTATGTCCTTCTGGGGACCTATTTCTGTCTACAATGGGGGTTGTGTGGACCACTGCTTTTTTGGCGACATTCCTTGGTCCCCATGAGGGGAAAAGCTGTTTTTGGATTAGGTATGTTATGATTAGGGTTAGGCTGTAGAAAATGAATGGAAGTCAATATTAAGTGCCCACAAGACACGAAAACACGACTGTGTGTTTGTGTGTGCTAGCATACCTCGTTAAGTAATCGATGACATGGTTTTGAGGTTTCACCAGCTCATCCAGTAAGCAATTCCCATCACCGTCCACCAGAGAAACACGAGCCAACTCGTTTCCTTTCATTGTCTGACACTGAAACACAACGAGAAACAGACTGGACAATATGAAGACTGAAGCACTACAGTAGTCTAGTTTTTAACCCTGCTGCGGTTTTAGCACGATGCTAACGGTCGGACAGCGGGGAAGCAGGAGAAGTTGTTCTGTCAGACCGTCACTTCCCAAAACCACAAAAAAAAAGAAAAAAAAAAAGAAATCATAAAACCACTGTCTGAGCTCACATACTGTGAGGATGGATGGATGGATGGATGGATGGACGGACGGACGGACTCACCATTTCACAGTCTAGTCCATACAGCGGGCTGTCATCGGTTACACGGACATCGCTGCCTGTGCACAGAAAGTCCTCAAAACCTGGAAGTCCTGCATCAAATGAAGGTGCAGGACACATCTATGTTCAAGAGCAAAACTTTAAAAACACATTGTTTCACTGGGATGGATGAATCAAAAACTAGCTTAGCACTTCACTCACCATGTGAATACAATTTAAAAACAGAGTAAGTTTGTAATACTGAAAACCCCCGAACGAGTGGGAGGTAATGTGGAGGTTTGCTTATTATATATAAAAGATTCAGCTGGAATGAAACTGATTCTCCATCTATTCCTTTAATAAGTTTTATTATGTAAAAAAATCATAACATTTTACAAATTTAAAAATCAAACTAAATTTTTACCCTTGACTGGATAGTGATTCTTTATCATCTGTTGTTGGCTAAGCAGATATGCAGTCAGTCCCCTCCTCTGTGTGCCAAACGCAGTGATAACTGGGTGATACTTCAGAGCTGAAGAAGCAAAAACACACAAAGTTCATCTGATAATTTTTGGTTTTGTTTCTACTGAACCCCCCCGAAACACAACATCATAGCACAAATAAATAGATGTGAATAAATACAAAGGGTTTTCGCAAAGATAATTACACAGAACAAAAGTTTGAAATGGTGATCAATAAGAAAAAGTGAACAGTACATAAGTAGATAAGGGCCACTGAAAAACAATCAGAATTCTGATTAATTTCCATTTTCCTCAGGATTCTAACTTTAATCTAAAAATTCTGACTGTAATCTCGGAATTGTGTCTTTAATTGAAGTGAGAATTTCAACAGAATTCTAACTTCAATTTCCAATTTTTAACTTTAATTTCAAAATTTTGACTTTTTTCTTAGAATTCTGCCTGTAATCCTGAGGTTTTTTTTTTCCATTATCCCTAATCCTCTTCTGTAGAACAGTAATTGATACTTTACAAATTGTTACAGTACATCTTATTTGCTAGTTGTATCCAAAGCAACAACATTCACGCTTCGCCCCTCACCGTCATGAAGCGCCTCCTCTGCTGCAGAAAGACATAAAAAGTCCACCTTAGGAACTTCAAGGCTGAAGATGTCAGATGCCACATCATCAACATCATCAGATGATGAAGTGAAGGAAATTCTCTGTCAGAAACAAATAAAAATAAACTATGAAAGGCATCTACAGTATAATAATCAGAACCGCTATCGTTCCCCTCCAATTCCTCACGGTGGCATAGCTGCTCCGGAGGTGCTCCATCGAAAGGTAGTGGTTGTAGAAGAGACTCTGAGTCACACCGTCCACGATCGCGACATTTATACGGCTGACCTTCTTCTGATGGTGGAGACGACACCAACTGATGTGGACAGGAATGCGGAAACAGCATGAGTCAATCGTGAATGAGTCAGAGACGTAGCCGACAGGAGAAAAGCTACCTCGGTTGTTTGATACCCCTGGATTTCCCCAGAGCAGCAAAATGAAGCAGCTCCATCAGCTGAGCCACGGTGATCGGCTGCCGCAAGCGGTCCAGGCGCACCGACACCTTCGCTGAACCGCAAGGCCGTCGCCGGAGGTCTTCGTCGCCTTCCTCCTCAGTCTTCCTTCTTTTGACGTCCTCCTGAGCAGACGGGGCTTCATTTTGTCTTTTCTTTTTGCCGCTCAGGACGTTTGAAGATGAGGAGCACTCCATGCTCAGGCCGATGTTTCTACAGTTAAGGAAAAGCGTAAAAGAGCATTTGAAATTCACATGGTTTGAATGGGAGTATGGAAGAGGTTGCAAAATTTCTAGTGTAGGTTAGCAGAACTGTGAACAGTTTTTGTGACTTTTCACACTTTAGTGTTCAGAATTAATTACACTTTCTGAACTATTTGAAAGAAGATTTGTTGCATTTTATTTTTACATGTCTGACCAATGTAGGCTGTTTTTTTTTTTTATTTTTTATTTTTTATCAGTTTCAGTTTATTTATTTGACATTGGCTGTTATACTTCTGATGGCACTGACTGAACAAATTAAGGTTGTTTTTACATGTTTGACTAAGCTGTAGGTTAATCGCAACGACAAAAAGATTGCAATATTTATCTATGGTACTGAAATTAAACTTTTTCCTAATAATATGAAAATTCTCCCCAAAGTAGGAGAGTCCAACTGGATATTTACAAACAAATATGTCTTATCTGGAAGATTTGCCAGTCATTGAGACCTACAGGTCTCAGTCAGTCACTGAGCTGATCAAGAACTCTTAGGTATACCAAAATATTCTAGACAGTTTAAGCGGCCATCTATCCAACAGATCAAACTGGGTCCAAACTGGGTCATTAGCAGGACAATGACTCGAAAATACAGCAGCAGATCTACAACACAATGACTGGAAAGAAAAAAAATCAAATCAGGGTGCTGCAAAATTTAGACCTTCAACTGATTGAAACCTTTACAAACTGAAGCAATGATGCCATATTTCCTCCATAAAGATATGAGAGACTGACAAAGTCATTCAAAACACGCTACTTTTGAAAATTCGCGTTGTTATTGTTTGCCTAATTTTGATAACTCATGAGTGTTTTAATCTGACATTGCAGAGCTAAAAGTAAAGAGGGGAATAATGAAGATCTGAGCCAAACATCACACTGCTAAACAATAGCAACCATCATAGCACTTTTTCCACGTAGCCTTTACCTACATAAAATAATGTTAAAATTCAAAGGCTCATTGGTTTAACAGTCCGTGTGTTTCGATTTCACCTCAAACACGACACCCTAAAAGTATTGAAACATGTTAAACCTTAAAGGGAAACTTAAAATTTAAAGAGATTTAGCACATAAAAGTAATTCCGAGCGTAAATTACCAAATATTACGGGTCCAGATGAGTTCCATAGGGACAGAAACACACTTTCAGAGCACGTTACTGGATGTTGTTCAAAGGAGAGGGGAATTGGTGACAACTTCTTAAAACTGCCTTTCAGAATAAACTACCATTGGGTTTTTAGTTTACATTTACTGGATGATTTGAACATTTTCAGACGGTTAATAAATTTTATTCTTTCTTTTATCGTATCTAGATGAAGAAATATTTACCACGTTTTCATTCTTGTTTGCATAAATCTTATAATTACGATAAGTTGTGCTTTTATTTTTGACGTAAAACGCTATTCCGGAAATGCATGTCTTCGGACTTTTGGCTGTTTCCCTGCAGCTCTGCGTTCGATGTCGCTGCCTTACAGAACAAACTAATCGAGCTCAGCATTATTAATTAATGTTTGAAAAAACAGCGGCAATTTTCGAGTTTTCAGGTCATGCAGCAAGAAGTTTCTATTTACGTTGCGATAATAACATAGGGAGATGATTTGCATGAAACGACGGATATGGCTACAAGAAAACTAGCAAAGTAAGTGAATTAGCTCATTAGGCCCCCTAAAGCTAACACATTTTGACAAAGAAACGTCACCGCATAGTTCCAATATTTAGATTTCCTACTTTTTAAGGGCCTTAAAGATAAATGTTATTTCTCAAAAAAGTGCACTGTTCATTTTATAGTATGTTTTCAATTGGGTTTTTGTTATTTTTGACAGAATCAGCATTGTAATTGCTCAGCGTGACACGAGGGTATAATTTCGTCCGTTTTATTCGTGTTCATAAAATACAGAAATCATTCTTCTTTTTTTTCCAAAACTGTAAGGTTAGGGTAGAGTTCAGTTAAGCTGCTTACAGAGCACGCCAGAAACCTCAGCAAGAACTGATTTTAAAGACATACGAAGTGTAATACAGCCATGTTAAGAATACAACGTGAATGAAGAAACGTATGACTGAAGATACCATAAGAAAAACTGGTGTGTGGTCTTGTTTTCAGCGGATTAGATTTTGAATTATTATGAGCAGTTATTATTATTAAGCAATTTGTCATCTACATTTATTTATTGAACCATTAATTTACCAGGAAGTCCCTTAAAATAAAACCTGTTTTTCGAGGTCAAAAGGCACACAAGGTTCAGATCATTAAACCCCCCCCCATAAAATTCACTTAAGTACAAAGTAAATTTATACGTGCAAGAATATAACTTAAGAATATAACTTCATAAATTAATTTTAAATTAAATACAGGCAATTTGTTGTACACACATTCTCATGATATAGTAGTTCTAATTGCTGTTGGGTATATCATGCATATCTAATCAGTTGTCAGCTTTTTGCGTTGTTTTAATTTTATATTTTACATCATCTTTCTTTTCACATACGTTTTTGTAACATATGTCTTGTCCTTACATTTTCTGTTTTGGTTTTAAAAAAATTAGGAATCACATCAAGTTGTGTGTGTGTATATATATATATATATATATATATATATATATATATATATAAATAAATCTGTTAAATTTCTGGATTTAGTTTTTTTTTTTTTTTTTTTTTTTTTGCAAAAGGAGATTAGGATTACTGAGGCAGAGAAGTCAGTCCACCTCTGGTTTGAAGAAATCAGTGATATCAAGTGAGTATTTTAAATTTCATTTGCCCAGACTGTAGACAAGTAAGCATATTTTCTAGACAGGTTTTATTTATTTACTTTACATGAATGCTCGTTTCTTCCAGATCAGATATTTTCATACTTGATTGTGATCGACTTTGAGTCTACTTGTTGGAGAGAGAAAAATAACTACGGACAAGAAATCAGTAAGTATTGGTTGCATTTTTATCACTTTGATTTGATACAATTCTGCTTCTGTGGACTGGAGTCCATCTCCTTTTCTTCTCCCTGCAGTTGAATTCCCTGCTGTCCTACTGAACACATCATCAGGGGAGGTCGAGTCTGAGTTTCATATGTACGTTCAACCTCAGGAGCATCCTGTTCTCTCCGAGTTCTGCACTGAGCTTACTGGAATCACACAGGTAATGACTCAAAACGCTTTTACATACAGAAACCTGCTCGCATACACACCTGACTGCTTGATTTTCACTCCCTAAATAGGTGCAAGTAGAAGCCGGCGTCCCCCTTCAGATTTGCCTATCTCGGTTCAACCGCTGGGTGCAGAACCTGCAACTGGACAAGGGAGTGATGTTTCCCAACAAGCAGCAGACGTGTTCTGCCTCTGACGTGTCCCAGAAACTGTGCACTTTCCTCACCTGGTCAGGTAACAGTCGGTTCATCACGGCACACGGGCAGGCTGGAACGAGCTGAAATAATGGAATTTGATTTGAGATTTTTTTTTGTATTTTTAATTCTTGTTTGCAAGAATGGAAAAAGTGTGGAAAAAGAAATTAGAAATGGAGTTTGGAAAAAAAGTTCTAGTTCAAAACTTTGTGTCTTACTCATTTGTCTAAAGTTCTGCCCTTATTTTTGTATTTCATTCTCTGTTCTGTATTTTAATTGTTATATCTTGAAAAAAAAGTGTTTTCTGTTTTCATGCATTATTTCCCTCCTTATTTCCTAACATGTTGTTTTCTCTTCAAGTTCATCTTCTTCCCATTTAGTTTTATTCTTCTTGTTTTCTTCCGTGTGTCCAACCTAGCTTATGTCTTAAAAATGTTAATTTTATCAAAAAAAATAAATAAATAAAATATATATGCTTCTTACACAGTAGAGAGAAGTATGACATTTAATCAAAAATATTTTTCATACATATGAAAAAGGAAATATGGGGCAGGGAAATTAAATGTATTTCCAGACTTCATTTTTTATCCCATTGCCTAAAAGTATCATCCACCGATACTTTGGTGGACCGCTAGGGGGCTCCACGTACACCTTTACATCAGAATGTGATTTAAATGTTTTTGGCACTTGCTTCTTCTCTGCTGGAGTTGAGTAATCGAGTGTTACTGTAATACTGTGTTATGCTTACATAAGTTCTGGCAACCCTAAAATAAGTTAATCAACAAAATACTTATAAATGGAAATAAATACAAAATAAAATGTATAGAAAATATAGAGCACTCAACTTTCCTGGTAAAAAAAGGCATCATCACTTTAAAAATACTGCTGTGACTGTTTTGCATAAAGCATTACATAAAAGGAGGAAATTTCACAACATATTTATTCCCAAGATAGTTTATAAATGTCAGCTTTATCAGCTCTTATGAAAATCACAAAACCAAACAGTAAAATGTAACATGCCTTTTAATTCCACAGTACTTATGATTAAACTGTTGGCAATTACATTTTTGTGTTTCGAAAATGTCTCTGATCTTTCATAAAGCAAAAAGTATTTAAAGTGGAATTATCTGTGTTGTGTTTTCAGACTGGGATCTTGGCGTTTGTTTGCAGTATGAGTGCAAACGCAAACAGCTTCATAAACCAGATGTTCTCAGCAGCTGGATAGACCTGAGAAGCACATACAGGGTAACTACCAGCTCATCCAAAACTTCCCCACTGTTTGTGGATGTTTTCTTATAATTTTCCAGTTAATGTGGCAGATATGAAGTGTATATTGACTTGAACTATGCGATAAAACATTATTATTTTATTAGAGATGTATCGATCTGATGTTAATCTCTGTATCTGTCCCGGTATTGAAAGAAAATTCTGGATCAGGGATCAGTGACAGTGTGCCTGATCCATCAGGACAGATCTATTCAATCTAATTCTATGCTTCGTGTTCTGAGCAACATCGTGTCTTATTTATTTTACACTAGATTGAAAACTCCTAATTGCACTTTCTGAATTATTTGAAGGAAGGTTTTTTGCAGCTTATTTTGACATATTTCACCAAGTTAACCAATCTATTGTTTTTGTCAGTTTCAGTTTCCTTATTTATTTTACGATCGCTGTTAAAACCCCAACAATAATGACAATAATTAAAACAACTTTAATTGTAAAAACAATTAAAGTTGCTTTTACATGTTTGACCAAGCTTGTGAAGCTATTGGTGTATTTAAATGTAATACTGGTGCAGAGTTATCAGATAAATTTATAATTCAGTACATTTATGTTTGTGTTTGGGGGAAAAAAACGTTTCAAGTCAATTCAGCACTGTCTGTCTGTATCGGGTTGGCCGAATCTAAATTTCAGATATCTGTATCAGTATTGGAAGTGAAAAGGGGGTCACTGCATTCCTGTTTTTTATGCATTATAACAGAACAGATGAATTTGAACCTCATCTATTTATGTCACTGCGCTTCACTTCTTTCTCCATCTCCAGCTCTTTTACAGCCGGAAACCCAAAGGCCTGAACGGAGCACTTCAAGATTTGGGGATACAGTTTTCTGGGAGAGAACATTCAGGTACTGAAAGTGACATTTCTTTAGTTCAAACTTTGGAGTCCTCTTGACATTCCTTTTGTTTCTTTTTGCATTTCAGGGTTAGATGATGCTCGAAATACAGCTCAGCTGGCCGTCAGAATGATGAGAGATGGATGTGTGCTGAAGACCACCCGGAGCCTGGAGAGGGTGAGTGGACCCCCGACGACGTCCTGAGAGAACCCAGATTCCTAGCATCAACCTTGTATTTTAGGCTTTTCTATGTGGAAAATATTGAAATCTTGTGATCTCATGTTTTTAATTTTAGCTAAATAATAAAATGACTTCAGAAAATGATGGAAGAATAATCTTCTTCCTCTTTCTAAAGTTTTGTGCTTGAAAACAGAAAGAAAACACTGGACAATAATAATAGTACAGTGTGTTCAAAAGATTTCTTTTGAAAAACATCCGTGAACATCAACATTCAAATTTGTCACAGAAAAAAATATATAATGACCACAGCTCTGCTTCACCTCCTCCAGTTCATCCCACACCTGGCCACACACTTCAGTGTGTCTTGACTCCACCCTCTTAGATGGAATTTTTTATTTTTATTTTTTTCAAAAACTGTCTACAGGCGGGTTATTCTTTCACAGGGGTTTTGTTACACTTTAAAGTACACACACCAACTATTTCCTGATGAGAGAATTTCTAAAGACAGTTTGGCCAGGACATTCTTATGAAAAAGATTTTAAATTTCAATATCTCTATATTTAGGGTAATAAATTGGTTGCAGTGGATTTTTTTCAGGGGTATCAGAGTAAACTTACTGTTATAAAACGTACAACATCTTTCCTTATTACTCATAACTCTCCACAAGTAGGCCTGTCACAATAAAAATCTTTCTGGATGATAAACTCTCCCACAAGTTTTTGCAATAAATGATAATCTTGTTGGTTTGAGACCATTTTCAAATGATATGTTAACGGCATAAGCAGGTTTGCCTGCTCAAAAACCAATAAGCTTTCATTTTGTAGAGAGCACTGGAGTTGGAATATGTTTGAAATATCTAAAATAAAAACACAACAACCAAAGTAATAAATAAAACAGAAATAAAAAAAATACAACCCAAATCATAAAAACAATAAAAAACAGTAAAAAATTTCTGTAAATAAAATTACTCCTCAAAAAATATCAGAATGGAAATTATTTTAATGTATCGTTTGATTAATTGCTTATTGCGACAGGCTTAGCCACAACTATGTGCTGATCTGTCATCACATCAAGTCCCAATAACATACTTTAAAGTTTGTGGTTAAATGTGACAACTTGCACATTTAACCCCAACCACATTATAAGTATTGAACTGTAGGAGATGAAATTTTAAGAGAATATTTTGAATTTCTTTTTTTTTTTTCAGCTAACCAATTATCTGGTTTATTTTCCCACAGACTCCATCAATGGTCAAATCCTTTTTCAATAAAAACGTCCCTCCTTCAGAAAAAATACAAGAAAAGCAGAATGATGCCAGGAAAAAAGCAAATTTCCTCAACAGCAGCAAGAACTCATCATCCAATATTTCATTAAAAGCTTGTCAGAAACATCCTCAGAGTTCAAGCTCAGGTCAAACGTGTCACAGCCTAATATCACCAAAGACACTGTTGAATGTAACAACAGCACCTCTAAAGGGACAAACCGACAAATTGGTGACGGCACATGTTGTTCCCCATCTTCTTTTGTCCACAGTTCCGTCAAACTGTAGCTCACCACGCGGTGACAGAAGCAGCAGCCATGTTCTGTTCTCTACCACTGTTGGCTGCATTTCCTCTCTACCTCACGCCGTCAAAACATCTGCTGTGGACGAAGAGGAGCGAGACGTTCTGGTGGAAACGGATGAGCGGTGCGGTTCTTACGATGATGTGGTGTTGGTATCCGATCAGACTGAAACAGATACAGTCTCAGGTGGAGAGGTTGGCTATGTTTCAGATTACAACGGCAGATGTCAGGAGTGGGACGGAATGGATCATTCACAACACAAGAGAACAGAAACCCCAAACATACTGAATAATACTCGAGATTCATCTATGGCATGGAAATCTGTAAATTCAAATGTTGAAGTCTTTAATCAGGCAAGTAAAGAACCACACCAATCAACAAGCAGACAGTCAGATAAATGTTTTGCAGTGCCGAAAGTTGTTGATTGGAGCAAACTGAATGGACATTTAAGGTTAGATATATGTCATAAAAATAATCAAAACAACGAGGTCTCTCCAGTTCTACCCAACCGCTTTCTGCCTGAAAACACTTCCACTCCAAATCCATCCACGACGAGACCAACCACTGCAAAACACAGAGAACCTCTGAAATCCTCATTTACTGTTTATACTGATCCAAAAACTCCTCATCCTTCCACCTCTGGCTCTCTGCACCCACCCAGAAGCATCCTGTCCTCTTTGTCAACAAACATACTATCCTCCTGTGCCAAACGGCTCAGTGGGGCTCTAACAGCAAAGGGGTCAAAGGTCACCTCCCCTCTGTGCGCCTGTGGTCGCCGTGCGAGGCGGCAGGTTGTGTCAAACGGCGGTCCGAATCACGGCCGGGGGTTCTACTGCTGTCCGGTTCGCCGCTCTGGGGGCAAAGAGAGAGGCTGTGGGTTCTTTAAATGGGAGTCTGCGCTCATGAAGAGCAGCTCAGTGGCTCCCCCTGCTGCTGGGTCTTCTGTATCACTCTGTCAGGTCAACTCTACACTTCCGTACAGGCGGCCGCAGAGAAAAAGTTGCTGAACGGGCGGAGAAGCAGCTGTGCATACTCTTTGTAACGCCTCAGTCACTGTGCCACTAGTATTTACCAGCCAAAAGATGAGGACTTCTGAGTTACAAAAGAAAAAAAAACTGGCTGACGGAAGCAATAGGGCTGCACAATATTAAGAGAAACATGTAACTAATAATGTTGTTGGATTTTACCCTCAGCTAGTTCATTTCTTTTAATGACTAAAGTGACTTGTAGCAGTTTTGTAAAGATTGACAAGTGCTTTGTCAAATTTAAGTGTCTTAGATCACCAAACAAATTTCAGTAACAGAAAAACATAACTTGAACCCAGAAAATATATATATATATATATATATATATATATATATATATATATATATATATATTAATGAAGGCAAACATTAACTTTAAACCAACCTGGCCTAATGTGAAAAAGTATTAACCCTAACTCAGTCATTTCTTTAGAGCTTGACGCTTAGGAAGAGCACAGCAGCTATCACAGTCGGACAGTGTGGAAGCGGGTGGCTTGTCCCGTCAGACCGTCGGTTCCCAAAACTACACACACCAAAAAACCCTTGTAAAAACTCACACGGACCGCATACAGGGTCAAAACCTTGTGCAGTCCAGGTGGACCCCGTCTCTTAAGACCAGGATTGAGTTATGAAAGAACTATGATTTATAACCTTTTTTTTGTTTGTTTGTTTGTTTTTTTATATGCAAAAAGATCTGAAAAAGCAAATCTGGAGAAACACCTTAACACACAGGTGTCAAACTTCTGTCCTCAAGGCTGCTGTCCTGCAGTTTTTAGATGTGCCACAGGTCCAAAACACTGGAATGAAATGGCTTAATTACCTCCTCTTTGTGTAGATCTGTTCTCCGGAGCCTTGCTAATGACCTAATTATTCTATTCAGATGTGGTGCAGCAGAGGCACATGTAAAAGTTGCAGGACAGTGGCCCTTGAGGACTGGAGTTTGACACCCCTGCCTTAACAGGTCTGGAAATGGTTATGGTTATGAAGCCCTATGTAGCCGTATTATCCTTCCAAAAAACGACTTTTGTGATGGAATATTGCCCAAGCAGAAAGTTAAATGATTGTTATTCCATTGATTGTCCAGTTCTAGAAAAGGAGTGTATGGTATATGCAACCATGAACATTTTGGATTTTACAAGAAATATCCAAAATGGCCAAAGACAAAATATGTTGCTTTGTAAGTATGTTTTGATGTCATGCATTTTAAAACACAAGAAGCTCATGTTGATGTTTAATACAAGAAATATGAAATTAAAATTACCAAAACAAAAAAATATCAAAAAGCAGTTTTGTCTGATTCAGTCACTAATATTTGTTTGTCTTTAACACAGTTTTATCTTCTATGGTTAATTATTGGAGGATACAAGATCTCTTCCATATGGTTTTCCAGTTAGATTAAATTAAATTTCTATCTAATATGAAAACAGAGACCAAGTTGTCGTATTTGGGTCATCAAATACGACAAAATTTCCACTCAACTTTATATTTAATGCATCTGATAATCAAATTTTATTTGTATAGCACATTTCAGCAGCAGGGCATTTCAAGGTGCTTTACATAATTAAAGGAAAAAAATAAATAAGAACAGCATGTGACATTGAATAAACAGTGAGAAAGAGATAAAAAGATAAAAACATACTTTTGTTACAGAATTTAAGCGCCTGTCGTTGCCGGACTCCGCCGTCTGTTTAACACGGGTATTATCCAGGCCCCGTCGCATGACAGGACGGAATTTACAGATATTTTGTCAAAACGCCATTTGACAAGGATTCTCACACCTCAGAGTTTTACTTAAAACGCCATTTAAAAGAAATTAATAAATAGATAAAAACATCAAAGACATCAAAACTCACACTCTAATCCTAATTTAGCCATAAGCAACTCTAAACAGGTGGGTTTTTAGTCAAGATTTAAAGGCACCCAGTGTTTCAGCTGTTTTACAGTTTTCTGGAAGTTTGTTCCAGATCTGTGGTGCATAGAAACTGAATGCTGCTTCTCCTCGTTTGGTTCTGGTTCTGGTTCTGGGGATGCAGAGCAGAACCAGAACCAGAAGATCTGAGGGGTCTAGACGGTTGGTACAGCAATAACAGATCTTTAAGGTATTGTGGTGCTAAACCGTTCAGTGATTTACAAACTAACAAAAGTATTTTAAAGTCTATTCTTTGAGCTACAGGGAGCCAGTGTAGGGACTTTAAAACTGGTGTTATGTGCTCTATCTTCCTGGTTTTAGTGAGAACGCGAGCAGCAGCGTTCTGGATCAGCTGCAACTGTTTGATTAATTTGTTAGTCAGCCCTGTGAAGACGCTGTTGCAGTAATCAATGCGGCTAAAGATAAACGCATGGATGAGTTTCTCTAGATCTCACTGAGACATCAGTCCTCTAATCCTGGAGATGTTCTTCAGGTGATAGAAGGCCGACTTTGTGACTGTCTTTATGTGGCTCTGAAGGTTCAGGTCAGAGGTCATCATTACTCCCAGGTTTCGGGCTGATCGCTGGTTTTAGTTGTAATAACTGAAGCTGAGCACTGATTCTAGTTCGCTCCTCTTTAGGTCCAAAAATAATAACTTCAGTTTTGTTTCTGTTCAGCTGGATAAAGTTTTGGCACATCCACACATTTATCTGTTCTAAGCATCTATTCAGTGATTGGATGGGTTCAGTCACCTGGTGACATCGTGATGTAGAGCTGTGTGTAATCCGCGTAGTTATGGTAGCTAATCTTATTTCCTATTATAACTTGAGCAAGTGGGAGCATATAAATATTGAAAAGAATTATGTAATTTTTACATATTAATTGATAATTTGATCAGTTACTCAGTACTTGAGTAGACTTTACCAAATACTTTTTTTACTTGAGTATTTCTTGGATGGCTATTTAAAATATTTTTTGAACTATTCTTGAGTACTATTTTAGGGTACTTTACCCAGCTCTGACTCATACTAACTTTATTTTATGTTTTTTCAGTTTGCCCCCAGCTTACTCGGTGTCCCGTTTCCTATTCGCCTTTTTTGCTTCGGTCGATGAGTCTTTTTGTCCTTCCTGACACGCCGTAGAGGACAACCAACAAACGTGCAATGTTGTGACTCGATCCAGCTAGTTTACGGTTTTAACCTGAACACGTGCGAGAACGGAAACCCGCTCGTGTCTGATCGATTTTTCTCATTGAACCCTAAAGGTCCCGTGGAAAGCTGCGGTCCCGTTAGCCTGCGGAGCTTCAAAACCGGAGGAGAAGAAGAACCGGAACCTTGACGGTAGCCTCGTCAGTTGAGATCCTAGAGGAGGTTAAAAATATTTACACCTCGCGTTTGTGGGGGAAAAGCCCGTCGATAGCATGTCAGCCGTGCAGAACGAGTCGAGGAAGCGGAGCAAGAAGCGCTATGTGTCCGGTCAGCAGGGCAAGCGGTGGAAGGGCTCCCGGGAGCTGGAGGTGGGAATGCTGGGGATCCTCATCACCTGCAACATGAACGAGAGAAAGTGCACCGCGGAGGCCTTCAACCTACTCAACGAGTACGCGGACAAGCTCTACGGACCAGAAAAGGTCAGACTGGCGGTGGTGAATCGTTTTAATCCCGTTGGCTACTAAAGAAAGCGAAACTGCACGTTCAAATGCTCGGTCCCTGTTGCCTGCTCTCCCTCTGCTGGTGATCTAACCTCACGGCTGGCTGTTTTTTTCTCCCTGCCCCCCGGCTGAACCAGATCAGACTTGATTAGAAAATTCTTCAAACGGGAATCCAGTCCTCTGGTCTATTCCCTGATGCTACTATTGTTTCTTTAGCTGGTTAGTCGTGTTGTTGCTCTTCCTCTTTTGAGGCTTTTCTACAGCTTGCATGTACAAATTATAAGGTCAAATGAAATGTAATTTTAGTAAATTGGTACAAAATGAATCTCAATATATATGTAAAGTTTTTTTTCTGTCGATTTTGATGATTGGCTCCATATAAATAAAAAAAGACTGGAAAGTTGAGTGGAAGGGAAAAGTGTTCACTCTTGAAGAGTGATTTAATTTTCCAGCAAGGCTGTTCGCCTACTCCAATTGCCCAATGTGTCACAAGCTGCTGCAGTGGCCATGGTAACTACAGCTGCGTTTCCTTTACAAATGTGCACAAATATTTGTCAATACTTTGCCAATGTTGAAACAAAAACACATAATTTTGCTATTGAGGTGTTTCCATTAGATTAGAAATGAAATTAAAATCACGTTTATAAGCTTGTTCATCCGCTAAGTCACTAAATCTTGGCAACGATAGATGTAAACAGTTGCATAAGATGTATTCATAACTTAACCATCAGAGGAGACGTCTGTGTCTTATTCAGGCGTTGGAGCGACAAGTTCCTTATACTTGGGAGTGGTTGCATATGTGGCGTTTTGGGGAAATCGTAGTTAGTAATTTTACAGAAGAGCTATGGCTTCAACACGTTGGAATGAGGGAGTTTTTATGAACTGTGTGATGCAGTGGTGGAGTCGGATGCACATTGTCTGAAAAACAAAACAAGAAATCAACTACTTCCTGTCCTCCTCTTTGTGGTTTCTGCCAGTAGTGACATCTGGCTGTTGACCACATGACACGCGTGATCAACACTTTGCAAAAAAAGTGTTTCCACTGCAGTGAAGGATATTTTGCCAAAGTTTGATAGGCTGTTTTTTTTTTTGTTGTTTCACACAGATAAAATAAGTAAAGAATAAGACAGATTATTTCAGCCTGTAGCCAAAACAATGTTTCACTTTAACCTGCAGCTTCAGAACAACAAAGGAAGCAGCAGCAGTGAGGAAGAAGAGGCCGAAGAAGAAGACGTAGACGTGGCGTTGAAGAAAGAAGTCGCACAGCTTCAGTCATCTGCAGGAAAACGGGAGAGGCGCTTCCAGGCCCTGGAGAGCGGTGCTAACAATGTCATCTTCATCAGAACTCACAATCTGGGTATGCTTTTTATAAACAGTGGACATTTGTTTTATTTTAGATCTTATTAGGGTTTTTAATGGACGTTTTTTTTTCTTTTTTCTTTTTTT